TGCCGATGATCTTTTACGGTTAAGCGAAGACCTTGAAACTATAAAACTAAATACGACAACGTTAATGAAAACCGGTAAAGAACTAGGACTCAAAATAAACGTTGATAAAACAAAATATATGGTTAGCTGCAAAAATGGCGATACTACTGGTGATATCGATATAGAGGGTAATATGTTTGAACAGGTAGATAAGTTTAGGTATCTAGGTTCTACGATAACTAGAAAAAACGAAATTGAAGAAGAAATTAAGGTTAGACTGAAGGCGGGAAATGCTTGTTATTTTTCTGTGACAAAACTACTTAGTTCGCGCCTCTTCTCCCGAAACTTAAAAATTAGAATCTATAAAACAATTATCTTGCCTACTGTTCTTTATGGGTGCGAAACTTGGCCGCTTACATTAAGGCATGAACAGCGTCTTAAGGTTTTTGAAAATAAAGTATTGCGTAGAATATTCTGACCGAAGAAGGATGAGTTAACCGGAGAGTTCAGTGTTACACAACGCCGAATTGCGTGAACTGTATCCGAATAATATAATTGAGATAATTTCATCGCGGCGAATCAAATGGGCTTGTAAAGTTGTTGGACTTAGTAACGAGAGAATTCCTAAAAGGTTAATATTTGCTGTGCCGAATGTAAAGCGTCCGAGGGGTAGACCGAAGCGAAGGTGGGAAGATTGCATTAAAGCCGATCTGAAGGGAATGGGTTTGGACTGCGAACGGTGGAGGGAGGTGTGTAATAAGAGATTGGTGGTGTCGGCATCGAACCTTCGGGTTCGCTAAGCCTTCTTATTATTATTATTTATTATCAATTATTAAATTCTCTGGTGAGCATTATTCTATAAGAGAAAGCAGACTTGCAGTAATTTACTAATGCTATCCAATTGTTTCCATTTAATAAATCAATTACTTGATCCCGAGATAAATTTCTAGACTTTAACCCTTTAATTCTAAATTCAGAGAGTATCGGACAAGCAGCCAGGAAGTGATAGAGATCTTCTGTTTCGTTTATATTACACATGCTACGATTATTATTTGTTTGCTAGAAGTGTTAATAATTTAAGATCAAAACATTGCTCTAATTTTAATTAACCATCTGATCACCTTCAATGAGCTTTTGTCATCAATATAATTTACTGAAGTTAAATGACTATAAAAAGTGAAAGTTTTAGAATTCTGAACTTCAATTACATATTGATTATATATATCTTTCTGAATTTGAGTTCTCAGTAAATATAAATTAGCTCTCCATAGTTTAACATCATCACAGTTAGATCAATTTAAGTTGAAATTTAATCCATGCAATTCAATCAGATTAAGTAAGTCCCTATACCGTGCGATTTCTTTTTTAATTATCTGTAGTGCTAATATTATTGGATATCTATGTGGTGGAAGATTCAAAATTTTTATAATATAATCAAAATGGAGTTTAATCGTGAAGGTAAATAACGGATCTATTTTAGTCTCAAAGTGAATAAAGTGTGTTGGAATATATTTTGATAATTTAAATATTATCATACTAAGAAAAAATATGCTTTTAGTCATTAGCCTATTAACCTTGTCGTGAAAAGGGGGGAAGTTTCATCGAATGAGGGTTAGAAGGTTTCTTTTTTTTTTTTTTTCTTTTATGGATGTGAATGAGATGCAAGAGAAATGGATGAGTGTCCCTCCAACACTCCGGGACACTTTTTAGACCCCTTAAAACTGCTATTTTTTCGTACTTTTGCGCTTTTTGCCCATTTGGACCACGAAAAAGCACGTTTTCGACCGAAATCATTCAATAAAGTTTTAAACAAGATTAAATATGCTACAATATTACACCAGAGCAGGCTCAGTAAATTAAATAGTTTACGAGATACAGATATTCAAATTTTAGAACATCTTCGGACTTGAAAATTTTAATCAATTTTTCCTATTTGATCATATGCACTTGTATTTATAGCGTCAATAGTCTGTCTTATATGATTCAGTGAAGTAAACGTTTATATATTTTAACATTTTTAAGGGAGGGTTCCAGGTATGAGGGGAGGTTTGGTGGATAAGAGGGGGAGGGATTGTTTTTCACAACCAGATGACTGAAAATAAAATCAATTATTTAACCTACATTTACATCAAGTGCATACCAAAATAGTAAATGATGTGAATGAAATTTTCGAAACTTGAAAATGTTAAGATAATTTCATGTTTATCTATTCAATAAACTCAATTATAAGAGTTAGTGAAGTAAAAGTTACTTAAGTTATTATTTTCTAGGAGTAGAATACATGTATATAAGAATGATTATAAATAATAACAGCTACAAATCATTGATAAAATAAATGAGCAAGAATGATCTAAGTCATTTATTGGGTTCGATCTTTTCCTTAGGCGCCTACGCCAGTACAGCTTTTCAGCCGATAAAGTGCATTTTCTAACAAATCTTTGCAAATATATTAAAAATTAATGAGTTATTTAGAAAGAGGAATGTATTTTCTAGATGATTTATCTGTAGAGAATTTTGTTATTGTTGGTCGTTTAATTGCAAATGACGCTTGATTTTCAGCACTAATTTGAACGACTTGAACTTATTGGTATTTTTATTGTTTAGGCCAATTGGTTTATATATTTGTTTGATATTTTATCATTTTATGACTATCCAGCTTTAATAAAAGACCAGTTATGAGCAAATTAAGCCAACTACTAAATCTCAGTGACCGATAAACCAACTCATATCAAAGAAATCGACCGGTCATGTTTGGACGCCGTTTTAAGACTATGTAGCCACATTTTTTTTTTGTAGGACCATTGGTTTTATTTTTTTAATAAATAGTTATAAGGAACACAGAGATATGAATTTTATAAGGATGTGAGTGGGAGATGTACGGTAGGGGAAGAGGGGTCTGGAAAACGGTCTACCCTCGCCCACCTAACCACCCTTCCCCTCCATCACTCCTACTTCAAAATGTAAAAATGAATAAATTTTTATGTCACTGACTCATATCAGACATGTTATTGAAGACAAGGGGAAATTAAATATTATAACAAATGAAAAAAAAATCAAACTTTGAACATAAATAAAAAATATGTATCTCAAAAACTATTTGATTTAAGGAGCTTGCTAAAGTATTAATTTGAAGCATATTTAATCTAGTTTAAAAAGTGTACAATGTTTTTAATCAAAAACATGCTCCTTCATAGTTATATGAAAAAATAATGTTATTACTACTGTAAGCTATATCATGAGATATAAGTAATCGCGGAACCAATAAAAATGGTAAGGAAGCTATACTGGCCTCAATTTGGAAACGTTTTCATAACTTGAGGTGAATCTCAGTTTTTCCCAAATAAACCTCAACTTAATTAATTACAAGCTTATTAAACTTGGAAGTTTTTCTAAAAGTAGGGTATATGCGTTGTAGAGTTGAAAGATGATAAAAAATACAAGAATAATTTATGTCTTTTTTTTTTAAGCAGGACTTAGCATTGGTAAATAGAACAATGCATTATCTGTATAGTGTATAGCCACTAAAAAGTCAAAAGTATTAAAATGGCAAACTCCACTTAAGTTTAAAGTAAATTTGAAGCAATTGTTAATTACTTTAATTAAACATTTCATTAGTTATTGCTCTCTATTTAACAAAACACATGACATTAAGCCCCCCATTTTTATTAATAAATACATTTGCTGCCGAAAATCTGTCCAATGTTTATATAAAATTTTTGTACCTTTTGAGGACTGCTATCACTCCTTTCTAAATTTGCCTCTGCTTACGGTTTAGGGAACATATTTACATAATGTCGTGCGGCATCTGCGTCGAGGACAAACTTCGAGGAGGATTTTAGGAATTGGAAGATCTAAATAGGGATTATGCTAGGTGGTGAAATTGTCGATTGTACATAGACTATAATTGATTTTTGCTTAGATGCCTTAGGAAATTTAGCTGTTCTTCACAGTTCTAGTCAGTATGGAGGTAGAGATATCAGCCGTAAAGAGGTTGGAAAGGATGGGCGAAGACTCAAGACACCATCATGAAGAACATCAGACTCAACAAAGTTTATTTTCTGTAACCAAGACAATCTTTAAGAATAAGCCGATAATGAAGAAAAATTTTTTTTTTTTTTTTACCATGCACCATCACTGAATTATGTTTTTAGCATTGGAATCCACATAAAGTAGGATATCATAGTAACCGCACGCCAAGAATACGATTCCTTTAATTTGATTTGTTTTGTAATAGAAGTGTGTACTCTAATAAGTGCATTTTCACATTTTCCCAATATTATTTATTGATAATTATCAGTAAAATTAAAAAAAAAAGTTTTAACAATAAATTAAAAAGGAGTAATTCTGTACTTTGTACACATTATCCATCACGAATCGAGAAATTCTTCAGAGACTGCTGGACGATTATATCATGAACTGATTAAACACTATTTATTGAGTAATCCACTAGTTATTCAATCAGAAAACAAAAAAAAAAATGAACTTTGATAAGAGAGCCTGTCCACAAACTTTGCAAAATATCTCGTTCATGTGATCTAGGTAGTGAAAGCTGTATAATCACGATTTATACATCTTTCTTACTAAATTTTACGGTTTTATTTTCTCCTCCTTAAAAATTTCAAAATTTACTTTTCTGTTAGAAAACGTTGGTAACATGTAGAACCAGTTAAACACGAAACTGTAAATAAATGCGTCATACTCGAAAATTAATTGTTGATAGAATAGCGTTATTTCTTAGTTTGAGTGCTGACTTATCTAAACTCAAAAACTAAACGAACCTTGTTGTTCTGTACTTAAGTGTTTAGTGATAAAGCGTAGTGTATCCAAGGGATTCGAGAAAAAAAAATTAAAAAGAACAGTATTTCTTTAGAAACTTTCTCGACATAAAATTAGCTTTTAACTGGGAGCGGCACGGTTGCTTGATTTTCAAACTCAAAACCAATTTACTCAAGCCATTGTAAATTGTCCTTTTATCATTAGTACTCAAAACTTAACTTTGGAGGAAAGCTAAATTTTCTTACTTGAAGCGTATAAAATATTTCAAGGCTGTTCTATGCGCATACAAATGTTTCAAGGTTTCTCTACTGCCCTCTCTTACTTTCCAGTAGTTTTCAAAATCAGAGACACGACTAGGAGAGAAGTGTGGGGATTACCTAGAGTTCTGCTTTGCCATGCATTTCTAGCCATGGGATCTCTAGGATATCCCAACGCTTCTCACTTAAGGTTGAGGACCAATGGAGTCTGAGCGAAGAAATTCCAAGATAAGTTTCTTATTTTTCTGAAAATGAAATAACGGTTGTAGTAATTAAACCAGAACAAATGTTAAACAGTAATATGTAGGCGTAAATGACTTGGGGATTTTATGCCTTTAAACAACAAACAAAAATAAACCGCAATACTTCCATCTTTATTAGTAATACTTTCATATAAATGTAGTTAGAGGAATGGGCAAAAATTAATATGAATTAGTCAATACATAGAACCAGTAATGGGAGTTAGTACTGAATTAATATAACCAATCCATTAACAAGAACCCTTTTTTTCAGTGAATTATAATCTATTATCATTATTAAAATTTAGTCATAAAGTTTGAAATGACGGAATAGGAGTGAAAAAAAATTTAAGCCTTTAAAATATAAAATAAATCAAGGGAGGTTAAGATGTTGAAAACAACTTCTTAGCCCGTAATTAACAAATGCTCTGTTCTGTTTGTCCCTCGCTCCCGGTTGTAGCAGATTCATTAAATCCCCGGAGTCTATGTGTAAAATTTATAGGCCCACAATTTCAGTTCTTTCTTAGCCAAGGCGGAGATTATTTATTATTTTTATTCCTAAGGGAAGGGTTTCAACTCTTTTTCTTAACAAACTTAATATTATTTCAATTCATAAAAGCAACGTTATTTACAAATTATAACATTAATTGTCCTATAAAAGGAAATGACTATGACGCCTTTCATTAATACTACGCATTGCGTTTTCTTTTTCAGTCGACAAAATACCTTTTTAGTCACAATATTTAAATTTATCCAAATGTTCGACTATTCAGGTATCTCCAGGAATAAAATCTGATTTTACAATATATTGTGAATTTTCATCTGAAAAAAAATATATACAAAATTCTTTCAAAGGACTTACTATCAGCCCATTTATACAACCCACAATAACATTAAAAACGAATATTAACAAGTCTATAAATGTATATATATATATATATATATATATATATATTATATATATATATATATATATATATATATATATATATATATATTAAATCGAAACTTACTAAATTTTATCAGTGCTCCTGTCTTGCATACTTTGTCTTCGTACACAACAGAGTGAGACCAAGCCTTCAGGGAAGGAGAGCATTAAAATATTTAAATAAAAATAAATTTTATTATTATTTTAATGAAAATTATTCAAACATATTAATTAACGAACATTAATTTGTTTACACTTAAGATGTATTTATTTATTATCCTTTCATTTCTTAAATATATATTTTAGTATTATTTTTGTTTTATAAGCTTATATATTAAAAAATTATTAAGAAATTATCAGATGTCTATCAATATCGATAATTTTTGCTACCGAAAAGAATGTGTTTAAATTTCTAGCATCATTTTTAAAATATAAAACCCTATCGAGGCTCTATGATATATAAAGTGCCTTCAAGAATTTTTCTACCGATACTTTATAAACCCTCTTTCCCAAGATCATCTTTTATGAATCATTTGTTTTATTCATTAGTCGTAAAATTACACAATTTAACTAAAACTACATAATACGGAATGCAGGCGCAGGTGTATACTGCCAAGATTTAATGCTATCGATTCCTGCTGGTAGCCGGGGTAAAAATTTCGATTGAGAAGTCAATCGTATAAAAGCCCGGTAGCATTGGCTGCGATAGAGAAACTACTCAGATATCCCTAGGCTTTGGTCTTGGTCGATTCACAAGCAGCCATACTACCGATCTGCAATGGCCTTGACCATCCTGATGTCACATGCGCTATTTAATTAAAACAGGAATCCTAGTGACTTTCCAATGGATTCCAAGCCATTGCGGTCTATCAGGAAACGAAAAAGCTAATGAGCTGTCACAGATCGCCTCAGAAATGCCACAAACTAATCCTCAGCTACCTTACGATTCTGTTAGAAGGATATTAAAATTATTTTACAAGGAAGAGAACAAGAATTGGCAAAAGAAACAGGCAGCAGGGGGAAAATGGGAATCTTTAACAGAGGGGCCGAGGAAAGAAACAAAAACATAGGAAAGAATCGGTGGCGAATTTCTGCATGATAACAGGTCATGATTACTTGCAAAGGCATTTGCATAGGATTGGAGTGATGGAAAGCCCTGTGTGCCCTCTTTGCAAAGAGGACGACATGTATGACCTGCACCCCTCAGTATGCCCGGCTCTGTCAGATTTCCGTAATGATTCGGATCAACACAAATACAAGCAATATAATCATGCCAGATTCTATTGGGCTGCCAGGAGCCTCACTACTGAAGGTAGAGAAGCATTGTATCCGTTCGAGAGTGCTCAGATTTACGTTTCAGGTATCAAGGATCAAATCTGGTTCGGTGTCTGAATGTCTGTCTGTATTCAAATTGATGTGACAGACAAATCACCTTCTACCGTTTATCCGATTTGAGCGGGTTGGTGTCTAGATGGTTCCATATCAATTTTATCAAATTTCATCAGGAACTTCTGCTTGCATATTCGTAAATGTATTTTAATAGATATGCCAATGTTTCAAAAACGGTTAGTTCGATTTAGCTCAAAGTTAAAGGAAAAGTAGGTATCATTAAATTAATGATTCTGTATCAATTTTATTGAATTCCTTTCACTTATATCTCATATATACCGTTTTCCTTGATGTTTCTATATCAGTAAAACCGCTAGTTCGATTTAGCTCAAATTTGGAGAGAAGTTAGGGGTTGGTTTACAGATAATTAAGTAAGTATCAATTTTATCTAATTCTAGGCTTTATCCTAAAAAAAAAAAAAAAAGACTTCCGCTTTCTGATCAGTGAACGCATAATTTGACACGCCTATAGTTTGAAAACGGCTCGTTAAATTTGACCCAAATGGAACGCAAACGTACTGAATCAACATAGAACCGAACTAGACATATACTTACACGAGAAACGCATTGACATTGCACTAATAACAGAAACACATCTGACACCACATTCTAAATTTTACATCCGTGGTTACAAAATCTACAGAACTGACCACCCAGACGGAACTTCACATGGAGGCACTGCCATAATTATCAAAACAACTCTAAAACATAATCCTTTACAATTACCGATAACACCAGAGATTCAAGCTACAGCCATTACACTATCAACACAACAACAAAACATTACTCATGCTGCGGTTTATTGCCCTCCGAGGTATGTTCTGACACCCACGATGTTTAGTAATTTCTTTAAACGTCTTGGTAGATGCTTTGTAGCAGGTGGCGACTACAATGGCAAAGATCAGTTCTGGGGATCCAGACTATCTACTCCAAGAGGAAGGAATCTTACGTATGTTCTTTATGAGCTTTAATTAGACACAATATCACCTAATTCACCCACGTACTGGCCAACTTCTAGACGAAAAACACCAGACTTACTCGATTCTTTCATAACTAAAGGACTCCAAACAGCACCTCACACCATAACAACGAGTTCAGATCTTTGCTCTGATCATTCCCTTTTACATATGGTATTGTTTGAAGAGCCTTGCGAAGCTACAAAAAAACTGTCCCTGATCAATGGCATAATGGATTGGGACAGGTACAAGAACCAATTGGACACTGCTCTCTCTGTTCCTCTATCCATTAAAAACGAAGAAGAACTTGAGGATGCCGTTGAATACTTCACACGAAATATCCAAGAAGCAGCATGGTCTTCATCAGTAGCAAAACCTCAAAAATATGAGTTCCTACCAATGTACCAACAATACGTAAGGGATTTGATCAGAGCGAAGAGGAGAGCTCGCAAAATATGGCAGACTGACAGACTCCCATCAGATAAACGAACTTACAACAGACTTAATAATGAACTCAAGCGACAGATTGGAAAATTCAAACGAACAACCTATGACAACTACATCAGAAATTTCTCAACCGACGATGGAATCTGGGGAGACGTACCAAAAACCTTATTAAGCATCGTAAAGTGTCAGCACCCCTTCGATGAGAAGATGATTCCTGAGCCGTGACGGACGGAGAAAAATCAGAACTCTTTGCCGAATATCGTTCTTCTGTTTTTGTACCACACACAGACTTCACTAACACTGTGCACGATAACAATGTACTAAATACTTTAGACGTGCACTTACAACTAACTTCACCTCCTATTTCATTCACACCTTCCCAGATTGCTGAACAAATCAAAAAGTTGCCTAAAAGAAAAGCTGCTGGACATGACTTAATTAACGCTGAAGTGCTCCAACAAATGCCTAGAAAAGCTGTAGTGCTTTTGACAACTATTTATAATGCAATACTGAGGACAACTAAATTTCCACTACAGTGGAAATACTCACATATAATAATGATTCATAAGCCTAACAAGGACAAAAACTCACTTTCCTCATACCGACTAATCAGCTTACTACCTACCTGTCCCAAAATTTTTGAAAGCTTACTGAACAAAAGACTTGTTGATATACTAACAAACAACCAAATAATACCTGACCATCAATTTGTATTTAGGGCACATCACTCAACTGTACACCAACTACATACAGTAACGGACTACATATCTACAGCACTAGAGCAGAAAGTATATGCAACTGGCGTATTTCTGGATGTTGCTCAAGCGTTTGACAGAGTTTGGCACCAGGGTCTTCTCTTTAAACTCAAGACAATACTCCCACCTACATATTATCTAATTCTACAATCCTTCCTTTCCGACAGATTTTTCTCGGTCCGACACGGGTCAGAACTATCTTCCATCAGGTCTATCTCAGCAGGAGTACCTCAAGGTTCAGTACTCGCTCCACTACTCTATATCACATACACCCATGACATACCTTGTAGTCCCAACATTTTAACAGCGACATATGCAGACGACACAGCAATTTTAGCAAGACACAAAAATCCAACATATGCCTCACAGACCCTACAACAGTATTTAACAAGATTACATGACTGGTTCAAAATTTGGAAAATCCGACTAAATCAAGACAAATCACAGCACATCACATTTACGCTTCGACATGAAACATGCCCTCCAGTTTTCCTTGACAATGCACAGATTCCACAGACAGACACCGTTCACTACCTTGGTCTGACATTTGACAGAAAAATGACGTGGGGCCCACATATAATCAAGAAACGAAA